TTTCTGGTAGCAGTGGTGCTGGGATGTGTCCTTACTGGATTGTTGACAAACATCATTTCAGGTGTTGGTGTGTGCATTAAGCAAAGTGGTCCACGATTCACTTCCAGAACAGAGCCTGGCCGGTGTGGTGGAACACAACAAATTCCACAGAACAGCTGGAAATATTTTAATGTCCTTTTATCTCCTTTTCCTTCTAATTTTCTCTTTTTTTTTCTCTCCATGCTCAGCATTAGGTCTATTCCAAATTCACTACTGGCTTTATTTAATTAAATTGACCTTGATTTGTGCCTCTGATCAACACCAAGGCTAAAAGCGTATCAAGAAGCAAGTCAGGGGTCTGGCAACTCCACTAGTATGTAGAGCATGCTTTAATAATAATGCTAATAGCTCCTCTAATAACATATTTTACTGGCCAATGGTCCAGTATATGGGTTTGCTCAGTTTTCTGTCTTTTTCTGCATATAGAAATAGTCATGTACTAGATAAAAAGTGATGAACTTTACTGTCAGTGCCATGTCTGTGGACCTGAATTTAACAAATCAAGTAGAAATCAAAAAGCTCTACTTCCCAAGAAGTATTCTGATATTATTATAGAGCACATATATACATATGATGGCTTGGCTTCGCGAGCAAAGATTTGGGAAGGGATACATGTGCGTAATATACGCATTTTTATTGCAAACTTATCTCTCCAAAGCATAGAACAGGCTGGGGCATGAACTACCCACCCCAGTGGCCCAGAGGAAATATGTAGAGCAGCTATTCCCCTTTCTATATACACTTTTAAAGCTTTTTCTGACAGCTGAGGTTCAGGCTGGTGGCACAGACAACATGAGGCAGAGACCTGTGAGATGTGATCTTCCAGGCATCACTGGCAAAGGTTTTGCCAAGTAAGTGTCTTGTAATATAGAGAGTGCACATATTTCTAGAGCAGGATTTCTGTCTCTGCATCAGCATAATGTGCTTACTGAGGATCACAGTTATAGGCTACTAAACTTTAAATATATTGCATGGACTTGCAGGAGAAGCAATTACCTTATAAATGTCTTCATTTGTATACGTTGATCAATACTCAGTGTGTAAAACCCCAACCTTCTAAACAACCCAAATCAATACATGATGGTTTATAACAGCCACTACTATCACAACCGCTCTAATCAGCTCTTTTCCTGTCTTCACTGGGCATTTATAGCAAAGCACAGGTTTCCAGCAGCCTTTCCCAGAAGGAACTACTGTAATACTACATGCAGTCTAAGTTACAAGGAAACATAAAAGTACTTCAGAAAAGAAGTCTGGCAGGTGATGGGATGTTCAACTGAAACAGGTCAGGAGTCAGCCCTCATTTCAAACTGAGATTAAAGCTGAGATAAGGCTCAAGTTCAGAGGTTTGATGAACAGGTTTTTGTTGTTTGGTTTGTTTTTTTTTTCCCATTTATGAGATTTTTACACAAACTGCAGGAAAGAGCCAAGTTAGGCATGTTTTCTGAAAAATAAAATAGCCATTAGCTGCAAGAACCCAAAGCCAATAAACGAATGTGTTGCCTTTCCAAGTTAATGCCTCTTCAATGCTTCCAAACCCAGAAAGAAATAAAAGCTTGAAAAGATAAGTTATCCCTTCAGCAAAATTATCTCCCCAGAACCTGGCAACTTTCATGGGCTATAAAATTCAATTAACATTTTTTGCTTTGTGTGTCACACTTCAATTAAGTAGAAAGCATATTCATCATATAGAACAGGAGTGTATTTAACAGGAGATAATGTGCTGGATTTCAGGACTTTGCTACTTTGGTTGTGATTCAAACTCAGAATGGTCTGTGGCTTGTTTATATCTTTGGAAATGGAAGGGATGGGAGTAGTCCGTGATGTGTATTTATCAATAGGAAAAATGAATAGAATTGCACTTGATGAGCTTGGAACCACCTCTCCCTGCAAAATGCTGAATCTGTGCCTGGCACTGAAAACATTTTAGCAACAGGGTAAAAATGACAACTGGAGCTCTGGAGGGCTCTAAAACCTTCACAGAACGAACTCTGAAGTGCTCTGTGCGTAGGAAAAAGGTCAGGTTTTCAAGATGTGGAAGGACTTGTTTGGTAAAGCATGTGGCTGCCTCATGTCTGGGTACCAAACTCCCCTGTCTTAAAATCCCAATAGTCACTGCCTTTGAAAATCCAGACGTGGACCAGCAGCTTTTTCCTTGCAAAGGGAGCAGAATGATGCCCTGGTGGTTTTGGCACTAGAGGAGAAGTCAAGAGCTCTGTGTTTTCCTTTTAACTTTGCCATTGCTTTTAACAAATCACTCACACTTGTGAGCTTTGATTTCCCATCCCAACCAGGACTGACCCCACCTGCATCGCTCACAGAAGGGTTTTTGAAAATAAGAGGACCTTTCACAAGAATGCTGTTGAAATATAAGCTCTTCCAGGCAAAAGAGCATCTCTTCATTCCATGAAGTGGCTGCTAGGGCCAGCTCCCCAGCAATAATGAAGGAATGCTACAGCACAAGAAACGCTCTGGGCAATGCCTCCTTCAATGATAAAGCTTAACAGCTTGTCCATCCATACAGATGAGTGACATAGGTATGAAAACATTAAATTAGTTACCCTTCCAAAATGTCCAGAGCTTAGGCTTCCAGAGTGCCAAGGTTTTACTGGAAATCTCATGAGAGCTACAATGCTGACTGCTTTGCCATTTCAGCACTTCCAGCTTGAGCTAAGAACTGGAACCTTAGCGCGTAATAGGAAGAAAATTAACCAGATTTGTCAGAAACATCAAAGAAGTTTGGCTTTATAAGAAAACGAAGGATCCAAGATTGGCAAGATGAATGTATTTTTTCTCTCTCATTCAAGTAGTTTCTTAATTACAAAACAAACAGAAGCAGAAAACAGGAAAAAACCCAACCCTCTTCAACATGCCATATGGTCAGGAGTAGTTGGAAAGAAAGTTTCCTTCTCATGTTTCAACCAAAAGTTTTTATTTATTGAGATGATTTAAACTTTAAAAACTTGAAAATATTAGACTAGAAAACAATAGTGGTTACATGTGTCAACTCTTCAGAAGAGACCAAAAGTGAAGAAAAAAATTCTTCAAGCATAAAGCAAACGCTGTAGTAAATCACTGTATGTGCTAAATAGATCAGCATGATACTGATAAAGCTTCTTTGGCTGCTTTGAGTCCGTTCTCAGAAGGTTTTTAAACTGGTGGTTACATCCCGTCTGTGATATGTGGTTGTGTAACTCATCAGGTGGGCCAAAAAAGTATCAATAAATAAATCTTTAAGAAACATAAAATGGGATTTGGCTCGAAGGACAAAAGGACCTGTGCGAGAAATTTCCACATTAAAAATGCATTGCTCTTTCTGAATCCTGGGGTGAAGAAACGGTTTGAAATGAAACAGACAATTCCATAATTTTAGGGGGAAAATATTTATTATAAAAGAGACAAGTTCACCATAATATCCAGTCCAAGTTTAACTTAGAAAAAATCTCAGTCCCTTGCTCAACCCTGCTAGCAGTTGTAAGCTGGAGCACAACGGACTCATGGCCTTAACCTGTGTGCCTAAGAGCTGTGATTGCAGATTTTGTGATCCAAAGTTATTTTTGCTTTCAATTCCTCCCCAACACATCCAAAGGGCTAACTCTGAGCACGGGGCCTCTCTTTGCAAACAGCAATAGATATCAGCACATCATTCTCTCCAACCTCTTTGTAACTACAAGTGGAAAGACAGAGAGCAGTGGAGATAATTCCCTAAGATCAGAAAGGACCAACAAAAACATCCCCAAAAGGGTTAGCTGAGTGCTCTGTGTTGGCCCACTGTGGTCAGAGATAAAGCAATAGATCTGCAGCAGAGCTCTGGCATTAATTCAGCTCCTGTTTCAGGTCCTTTCACAGCAAGTCCACCAGGTATACCATGCACTTCATTAGCCTTTATGGATGTACTACCTGTAGTTATCTTCTGAAGCATAAAATATCAGGGATGAGTTTAAAGTACGTCCACATTGCTCTGTTAGGTTTTAAAATGTCACAGGTGAACCCCTTGGGCCTATCAGAAATTATTGACTTTTGTCCCTGATTTTAAAGGGGGAATGTATTTCCTCTGATCTGATTCAACTAGTCTTCTATTTTAGGTGCTTGTAGAGCAAAAAGTTAGATTTTTATCCAGCCTGACTCCTTTCCAAAGGCTTTCCAAAGCATGAATAGCTGCTCAAAATATGGGAGCCAGTGCATCCTACAGAGAGTAAAAAGAGTTACCCTGTGCTAGGTTTCTTTATTTCTTTTTCTAGTCCCATTGCTACATTAGAACCGAAAAAGCCACCCAAATAACAAAATAGTAGACAAGCAGAAGAGAATAAAGAATCTGGAACAAGATTTACAGATGCAAACACTGAATTTGCAACCAGGAGTAATCTTCTGTTAAAAGTTAGCTTGGTTTATTGGCTAATCAAGGTCACCAAGAGCAAAGTTTTCATGTTTCCCTACTCCCATCATGCTGTTGCATGGTGCAATGCTGTTTAACTGTTGATCAAACAAAGAAGTAATATGAAAACCAGTGCTTGGTAACAGCATATTACATGTGCATGAAAAATCTGTGCTGGCATGACTCTGCGTAGTGTTTTGCAGGTGAGGTCATTACAACAGCAGAGCCCATTACAACAGCAGAGCACATCTTTTGGTTTTTGACTCTTGGAAATACATCGTTTGGAATAGGGAAAAGGGAGAGATGGAGACCTTTGCTTCTTCTGAATATTGGTCTTTCTCACTTCATATTTTTGATGCTACTGATGACCAGTGTTAAGTCACATCCCTTCGGCTTGGTATTACAGACCAGGACATCTGAGTAGCAACCTAGTGTGGGTAATTTTCTGTGATGGGGAAGCCCAATGTGGCTACAAAGTCTCGATGACAATTGTCCATTTAAGATTTGAATAAAAATTCAACCTTCAAGGCAGCAAGTAATAAACAGCCATAGAAAATTATTTAATGCAAGTTTTGCAAAGTGCAAATGGGTTTGTTCCCATTTTATCCTACGAGAAATGATTACAATTAACAATGATCATTTTACATAATTGGCTGTATAATTTTATGACCTCAATTATACTGAGTTGTAGTTACAAGCACATGTTCAGCGATGCAACAAATCTCAGAGAGTGAGACAGTCAATGAGGGAAAAGAACATTCCCACTCTTTCTGCTCTTGCAGATTAGGGCAATGTTACTGTAAAACCTGTCATTGCCTGAGTCTGCTGGGACAGCCACCTGCAGAGACAGAAGATGATGACTGAAGGTACTATATCCACCTTCCTGTGTCTATTTAGAAGGCTCATTTATACCACAGTGGTGATAAAAACAGTTCCATAACTCTGGAAAAAAAGGTTCTTGACAAAGAGCCAATTTTTTTGTATTTTATCTCCTGAACTCAAGACTGTGATTCTGCTTCTCTTAGTAATTAGAAATAGATCAAATCCTGATCAAAATTACCTTAAAAACTGGGTTTGGGTCGTTCAAAAGGGAAAACAGGTAAAAAGTCTGGATCCAAGGTTGAACTTGCTTTGGTTGTTGTTTGGGTTCTGGGGCTTGGTTCCGGTCCATCTTAATAAACAGAGCTGACAAGCACAACCTAGTTAATTCATCATGCATCTGAAAATGGAACAAGGAAAAGAGCAGATCTATTTCTATTTCTTCAGAGGATGCAAGTCTGAGATTAAGAAGAATAAAGTATCTAGAAGCTTACTTCAAAAATAACAGAAGGTTCATCATCTTTCTTTAATCCATACCCAAATGTGACCTAGACTCAAGAGAGGATACAAAGCTTTCAAGACAGTTCCAGAGTTTCTATGAGCTCATGACCCTTTGTGTAATCTCTATTATATGTGAAATTGTTTTGCAGTGAACTAGGAAATTATCAGTATCCAGCATGTCACTGGGGACTCTTTCAAACTGTATAATTAGAATAATTTCACTTGTATTGGGCAGGGCAAGGATTCAAAAAGCAATTCAGAGGCAAAAGGGCAAGCAGCCAGACCATGCTATGTGGAGCTGAGTTATGTGCTTTGCATTTTATTACTCTTCCACGTAGAATCTGGCAGTCATGTATTTAGCAAATGCTGCTTATTTGTTGTCTGCAAACTCCTCTGAAACAGTACCAGTCTGCTCGAGCTCAATACAATTGAGTTAGGAATGGCTAGGAATAGTTTGCAGGAAATACGCTGCAGAACATTACGGTTTGGAAACTGCGTGACAGAGGCTCTCAAAAACTCAGACAGCTGGTGCAAAGGGGCCCTTCCTAAGCTCTAATGACAGCAGAGGAAAGTGTGGAGATACTGCTCCCACTAGTGTAATAGCGGGAACAAGGGGATGCTCTGTGTCCAGGGCATCCATCCCTGCTTTGGTCATCAGTATTCCTGCAGTAGTTGGACAGTTACTTTAACATCACTAAACACATTCTGCAAAGAGTTTGTCCCAGTGCAACCCTATTACACTTATTCCTTATTTTTTATAAAGAAAAGAATATTTGTAACACAAGGAAGAATAAACATTGTGCAGAATTCCCAGGGGCAAAGATTCATGTTTTCATGAGGATCCCATCAGTTCTGTGAATCATTCCCCCCCCCCCCCCCCCAGCATCTTCTCTGAGTTGTCTCCCTTCTTACGCTCCTTTCCTTAGTGCCTCCTGGCCCTCAGCAAAGTGTTTGTTCAGGCACACTAAGCCACGCACCTCTCCCTCTCTGGGAATATTTGTCTTTTGCTTGTTACAGGGAAGAGCTGCAGCCCTAAAGTGAAGCTATAAACACACATTAACCCCTCAGGGATTGCACCGACTGCCTTGGTGACACAATTTGCTTTAGAATTACATTTCCTCTTACATAGGACTCCTGGTGCCCCAAAAGGAGTCCAGAATAAAGGAAAACCAGTTTTATACCTTATTTCATATTGATAAAAACCTCTAAGCTAACTTTCCAACAACAATACAATGTGCATAGGAGATGGCAACTGGTTCTCTTGTAACCTAGAAATTGTTTAAGATACAGAAATCTGACCACAGACATAGTATAAGCCTGGATTCTCTTCCCATTTTCATGAGTATGAAGGTATGTACTCCTTCTTTGACTGTATGCAAATACACTGGGGCAGAGAGAGAATTTCTGAGGTCTATCAGTAACAGTAGCCTGGTTTGCTTCATCACTGTTAAGATGCTAAAAGGTTTTCATTCCTTTTTGTGGTCAACCTTTTTCCGCCCTGCTGAAGTCAAGCAGTCCTTGAGGCTGCATCTCCAAAGCTGAGTTACTTGAGATGAACAGGACACAAACAGGGAAGGCAGAAGAGTTAAAAGACACAAGACACAACCAAATTCCCCAATCTACCAAAGTCCCAAGCTCAGAAGTGACTTTGATGCTCAGGATCCTAAATCCTTGTGAAGAAATCATCATAGTCTAACCCTAACATTTCTGTATGTTTGTCCCTGTCAAATGAAAACCCATATTTATGTTCTGTTTCTTGGTGTTTTGTCTGGCTCTGGATGAACCTTTCAGGAAATGCAGAAAAATGCTGTTTAATCCTAAATACCTGAATCTAAGGATCCTTTTTAAAGTATTTGTTCTGTGAAGCTATTTTCCTTCATTTCAGGACACACCATACCCTGGCAGGTTGAACTGTATGATGCTGGGGAATTAACGTTCAGGTATGAGTACACGTGGGGACCTCATCACTCCTACTTCTTCTAACCTCATCTGTGATAGTTTCTCTCTGTGTTAACCTGGGATAAGTTTTCAGGTGTGACTGCTAGACCTGAGAAATCAGACCAACAACCTCTCTGTATACTGCAGAGGAAAGAGCAGCAATACAGAGCTTGCAAGAGTTTGCAAGATAACTGATGTTGGTGAAGTGTTTTGAAGAGGATCGACATTGTATAAATGCCATCTGACAGCCGAGTCAACAGATTCCTACAAAGGACAAATGAAACCCAATTAACCTAGCAAGAAGTTAGCCCTTCCATTATGATAGCAGCTCTGCTCTGATAAAAGCAAGAATTCAAAGAAGTTGATGATTTCATCTCCTTGGCACAGAGATGACTGCACAGCTGCACAGCTGAGATGTCACAACAAAAGCAAATGCTTACAAAAGGTTATTCTTTATGTTTTTGGCCTGTAAATGTAAACTGACTGGACTATCTATACATGCCAGGAATGCCAACAGTGGCTCGAGTGTACATCTATCGCCCTCTAATCCAGGACAATACAAAATTACAAGTAATAAATTCTCTTCCTTTCAGAGCTCAAAGCAACAAAAGAATCTGTATTTGGACAGAGAAAGCTTTTGTATTGGCTTGGACAACATATATGCAAAGGAGAACATACTTTGCCAGAATAGGGGAACTGCATTAAACTTCCCCTCTCTCTCTCCTGTTGCGGTGCCTTAGAAGATGGTGAGTTTTCTCCCTCCAATCCTCCCAGATGGACTGCAGAAAGGACAGAACAAAAGGAAGCAGTGCTTTGTAGGCTGTAGTTTGTAGCATTCTTTGATTTGAAGTGCTTTCAGTGCTGGAACCTGACAAATGGTCACGTTTTCTAGAAGAGAAAGCCTTGTGAAATGTTTAGGGGGTATGAGTGCAGCTGTACTTTGTACATTTGTGCTTCACACATTTGTCCGGGGAGCTCAAGTGCAAGCTTATCCTGCACTGCAGGTTGCTAGTGCTGTTCGAGTGCTGTGCTGATGTCACATGGGAACTCCCTCTGACATCTGAGAAAATGCATTGGAAGCAAAGGATTTGCAAAATACAGGGAAAACATGGAATCTGGGGGCAAATTCAAGTTCCCAGAGGTGAGGTGGAGATTTTCTTTAGGGAAATTATCTCATAATGGCCATGTGTCAGTTTTTCTACCACTTTGTCTTAAATAACTAATGTGCTACTCTTTATTCCACAAGTTAGATCACATCTTGACCCTTTAAACTATATCCTTCATTTGAGCATCATCTAGGTAGGTACCTTTCTTTAATAACTCAAGTTTTCCACTGCCTTTGATGTTATAGAGCTGTATCTGATGTGCAAGAGCCCAGCCTGCGCTAGGGTTTGCAGGACATCTGCCCTTGCAGCATCTAGGTGATATATTTGCTTGGAACTATGATTTGCATCTTGATTTCTTTTAAAGTCTAAGAGTTTGGGTAAGGGAGAGAGAAAAAGGGAATAATCAGACCTGAAAAGTATTACTGTCAATTTGTAATATGAACCTGCAGTCGGTAAAATGATGACGACTATGTGAAATTGCAAGATGCTGGCTGACATTTCAGAGTACAAATATCCACAGCTTCATCCAGATTGCAAAATATTAATGATTTCAAATGGAAAAATCTAATGAGCTAAACATTGGCTTCTCTTTTCTATTTTAGGGACACCTAAAATATGCTTTTTGTTGTTTTCTAAGAGAAACTAAGTATATTCTAGAAGCGAAATAACTCATGTTTAAACATGTGAAGTATTAGAGGAAAAGACCCAAAACCCAAACCTCAACAGTATTCACACACAGTATCAGTTTCAAGGTGAAAATATAGATCATGACTCCCATTGGGTTGAAATTGTCTTTGTAATTAAGAATCTGGATCCAAACGTTCAGAATCATAATCCTTTGATACTTCCCTGACCCTTTAGATTATTAACCAGCACGAAGTAGTTTGAAATTTATACTACCTTTATCCTCAGTGTTTCTGCTTCATTTTCTGGTTCTTGAGACGATTGCAGTACAATAAGGGTGGGGTTAACACCACCAAATGCAATAATGACATTTATAGAATCATAGAATAGTTAGGGTTGGAAAGGACCTTAAGATCATCAAGTTCCAACCCCCTGCCATGGGCAGGGACACCTCACACTAAACCATGTCACCCAAAGCTCTGCCCAGCCTGGCCTTTAACACTGCCAGGGATGGAGCATTTACCACGTCTTTGGGCAACCCATTCCAGTGCCTCAGCACCCTCACAGTAAAGGAGCTCTCAACTGCAACTTCTCTGGACTTCCTTAAGAAAATCACTAAATTCCATATTGTTTTCAATCATCTAAGGCTGGATCTCCATCCTCCTTTATTCCATACATCCACACAGCTACCAGCACATCTCTAGACTTGTCTCAGAGTCTTATTTTCGAAGGCAGAGCAGGCAGTGTGCCAGGCTCCTGGTCAGGTGCAGTAACCCAATGAGTGCATGATTTTCAACTGCACACTCACAGATTAAACTGCAGCTGCTGCTCACAGTTAACTCGATCCGCTCACCGAGACATCATTAGAGAAAATCAATTAATTTTTCCATTCTCCCAAATGGTGCTGGAGTTGAATAGAAGGAGAAGAAAGAGAAAAGGGGGGGAAAAAAAGGACTTCTATTGTGTTGGAAAGATAAAACCAAGGGTATTGAGTGGCCAGGTTAATGCAGGTCAGTTACAGCTAGAAAGAAAGGAGATACAAGTAGTTTGTATTACATTTTATATATGAACATCAGAACTGGCCAACCATGAAACAAACCTGCTCAGTACTCAAGCACAACTCCCTTACTTTTGCACCACCTACTTTTTCCATGTACTTCTGCTTTATGATCCTGGGTTGAGATTAGTTAAAGGTGAATGGAAAATGTTATACTAAAAACTACAGGAAAGCCTGCCCTGCAAAACTCGACACTGAGGTTGAAACTCCTGAAGGTTCAGGGATTTGTTATAATTCATTCACAAATCAGCTGTAAAATAAGTCTTTGGAAAATGGGATCTGTTACAGTAGGAATTCTTGTTTTAAAATCATGAGCCAGACATGGAA